CTGCCTGTTATTATCTACCAATAATGTTTTTGATTTTTTGTTTTAAATGTTTTATTAAAAAAATATTTTTATTTATTTTATTACTTTAAATTAATTATTTTTTATGTTTTGAAATAGTTTTAATATACTGATGTTAAAAAATAAATTTTAAGATATTAAAAGATATTATTTTAATTTTAAAAATAATAAATAGTTTTAAAAATAATCATTATCATAATATAAAAAAATATTCTATTAATTTATGTTTATCTGGAATTGATTTAGCCTATTATTGTGCCGTGGTAATCAAATTAATCTGCTACCATGATGTGATAAGTGTTAAGTTAGATTTCATCCCCTTTATTACACTAACAATAGTTTATATATTTATATTTCTATTTGATATTATTTGTTCAATTGATTTAATGGTTTTTAACTAAAAAATCATAAATATAACTCGTATCAAAATTTTATTATAAAATTGATTTAAAATAATTATGTTATTAAAAATTAAAAAATTTATCATTTTAAAAAAATTGAGCCATTTTCATCGAATGTACTAATAACTTGATATATAAAAGACAATTAATTTAAGAATGTTGTAAAAAAAAGAAAATGAATGGGCAAAAGCAGCCTTCTCACCCACAGCCTTTTATAGCTAATTTCAACCTATTTTTATTATAATTATTTATGAAAAAAATTATAAATGATAATTTAAAATCAAAATTCACTTTTTATAAGCAATGCCAAAATTTAAATATATCAGCATGCAAAAACAATATAGCAGCAATCATAGTAAGAACAGAGAAGCGGTGCCTATGGGGTCTTAAAGGGTTTCTGACACTGTCTGTCCATGCGGTGCTCTTTTTTTTGTAAAAATTATATTTTTTTATTTGAAATTAATTTTTTAATATTTAATATTAAAAATAAATTTAAAAAATAAAAAATATTTTAATATATTTTTAAATAAAAAATAACTGTATTATAATATCAAAGTCTTTTAGACTGGCTACTTTATTATTGTTCATTTAAGTGTACTTTGTAAATATAATGTTTGAGCATTTCTGAGGCCCCTTAGCATATTTGCGTCCATTCATTTTGAAAGCCCATATTACCTGTGTGCTTGTTGAGGAGAAATTTTTAATATTATTAATTTTATGCCGACATCAATATATATTTAGTCATTAAAGCTTGCATGAAAACAAGCTTTTATTTACTTTAATTTCAATTGGAAATGATAAATATTTTATTTAATCTCTTGGTGTTTTAAATATGATTTCGGATGTATATAACAGGATAGGTTCTCCTCATATCTTGATCATATTATAAGATCCACCTATAATTAATCAAGTGAATGCTAGCAGTAACAATGTAAATTAATGCAGAAAATGATGAAAGTACTGTCTTAAAAACGAGTGGCTGATCCACCCCAATGGATACAGTTTTTTTTTTTTTTGTTGACTTACCAAATGACATATACAATGATGGTTAATTATTGTTATTAAATTTAATTTAATTCAAGTAAACTCCTGACTTGAAATTTAATTTAATTTGGATTTTATATCAAAATTTAACAGGAGATAATCTGATTTAACTTAATTGATCAATCTAGTTAATTCACGCAACTTGGAAATATAATTTGATTTGGATTTTATATCGAACCTAATGAGAGTTGATCTAATCATGAATAAGGATATGATTTAATAATTAATTAGATTTTTAAAAATAAATTCTTTTAAATACTAACTTTAATAATTCATAATTCCAAGAATAGAGAAAAGTGAAGATTTAGAATAAAAATTAATTTTAGTGCTTAAATATAAATCATTATATCTTTCTTGATAATATAATTAAAATAAACTCACACACTTTATTTTGCATGCATTAAATTATTGATAATAGTTAGATAAAATCTAAGTTAAATATGGAATTCTGCATGAGCCAGTTGATCGTTTGGGGTTAACAAATAAATTGATCGATCGTTTATTCATAAGTGATGAACACTTGAGAATTTTACAAAAAATAATCGACTAATTAACTTGACCAATTTGAACCGGTTGATCATTTTAGTTGCTAGAGGAATAGTAATGATTATAAACAACTAGTTTTTCTTTTATATATATAACATATATGATATACAAGCTATTATAAAAGTAAAACTACTATAGAATCATCAATTCATGATCATACTCTGATTTATGCCATTAAACTTTTATATTCTAGCATAAAAAATATTCAATTTTATTCTCACTAAACTTAAACACTTTCATATTCTATAAGTGATGTCCAGTAAAGTATGAAGATATTAAAACTTCAATTATAATATTCATTTTATTGGAAAAGTTTGTTGTTAAAACAAAACATCATTATAAACCTTTGAAAGTTTTAAAAAAATTGGTGTTGGTGAGACAATTTCATCAATGAAAAAATTTCGAAGAGAGTATATCTTTAAGTAGGTAAAATCTTAAAGAATGGATTTTTTCTAATAGTGTAAAAAGTTTAGTGTTGATTCATCAAGTGATAATTATATTTTTAAACTTGAAAGTCTAGTGAAAGAAAACAATACTAAAATACGATTTAGCACTTAAAGTATTGATGTAAGCTTGTCAAACCATGTTAAATTAAAATAAGTTTGCAAAGTCTTTTCCTTAATTATTTACTTTACACTTTAATTATATCATTAGTCATTGCATTTACTTGAGTAATTTGTCTTAATTATAAAATTTAATGATACACCTAATTCTCTCTATTCTTAGGTGTTAAGTTGTTTTAATCCTTGAATAATAATATTTAAATTGATTAAGTCGATTAGGTCATGTTAGGAAAAACCCCACATGGTTTAATTTTAAATCCGAGCTAGTCAAACAGTCGAGTTGAAAGATTTTTATTTTTTACTTTCATCTTCTTTTTTTCATTTTTCCCCTCGGACTTCTTTTATCAGTCTCCTGGTCTTTTGACTGATCAAGTCTATTAGATGATGTAAGAAAAACTCCCACATGATTGAATTTTAAACTAAAATTAGATAAAAGTTTGAATTTATAGGTTTTTTTATATCTATTTCATCTTCATAATTTATTTACTGGCCAATCGATCGAATTGGTTTTTAATTAGCGAAGTTGACTAGAATACCTCATACCAACTCTTATATAATTAATTTAATTTTAAATTGAACTAGATAATGAATCGAATAGGGAGATTTCAAAGATGAGATGTTTACTAGATTTAATAAAAAATATCAAATAATTTGCTATAACCTTATTATTATTTAATTTGTTACATTAGAAAAAAATTTAATCTGACTTATACAGTGCGGTTCTGAAAACTAGTTTCCTCCAGGGAAAAAAAAAAAGAAGGTAAAATTCATAAAAAAAAAACGTGTTTTGTCATAAGCACATCCTTGAAAAGTAATAATTGAATAGAACCGGTGGGTGATAAGCTATGACTGAAAAGAATGGTCTTGAATTAGTTAAGAAATCAGCATCAGAAACAGACTTTTCTGGTGAATGGTTATTGTTCAAGGAGGACGTACTGCCTTCAGTGTCACTCCATTGATTTATTTATGGCTCTTTTTTCCAAACATTTCGTAAACATGTAATGGCAAATTCTGTCAAATAAATGAAGAAGATGCGTTGTGCAAGTGCAGTTCACATCATCTGAAGCCAAGAGAAACAATTCTTCATGTTTCTTAACGTTATCAATTACTTTGTTAATGTCATCATTAATTAATTTTGAGTTCAATTATATACTAATAAGTTATTTATAATGAAATATATATATATATATATATATAATGAAGGTCTTGTGAGGGGGTTGTGCAGGATTTGAGAATTAGAGAAGGTAATATTCATTTATTTTCAAAATTAGAGAAGAAATTTTGTTATCATTATTATTTATGCAAGATTAAGGACAAACTAACAAGGAATTTTATGATGTTTCAGAAATATCTAATAGTATACTATTGTAATTACTCTTTAATCTTTAAGCTTTTTTTTTTTTAAATTACAACTAGTAGGAAAAAAAAACTCTAGTAATTCATCTTCATAATAAGCTCATACAGAAGAAAAAATGGCGCTGATAAACAATTAAGGGTTTGTTTGGAAATGTGGTTGTAATTTTTTTTTAAATAGTTTTTTGTATTAAAATACCGAAGAAAAAATGGCGCTGATAAATAATTAAGAGTTTGTTTGGAAATGTAGTTGTAATTTCTTTTTAAATAGTTTTTTGTATCAAAAAACATACCAATAATTTTTTTTTACTTTTAAAAAATTATTTTTGATATCAGCACATCAAAATGATTTGAAAACATTAAAAATATATTAATTTAAAATTAAAAAAAAATTAAAAAAAATTAAATTTTTTTAAATATGCTTATAGAACATAAAAATAAATAGGCACTAAATATAAAAAGGATAATAAAGAGATTTACGGAGAATTAGGAATGATGAAGGATTTCCCACGTACTCTAACCCAAAATTGAATAAGACCTCCCAATTATATATATATAGCACACACACACATTAAATTGATAATTAGCTGATAATGCGCAAGTCATGCCTTTAATTTCTCTTTCAAACAAGACGTGGCACTGGGAAATTCCATTTCTATAGAATATAGAAAGGATTTAATTTATTTTCTAAAGAAAAAAGGGATTATACACTGGTGATTCGAATTTATGAATTTCAAGAACAAAAGGAGAGAAATATAATAACCTAATTAAAGTCCATTAATATCGAGTGTGGTAACAGTTGTTATGTTTGGTCATACTTAACCTTCAAATATTTAATAGTCATTGTTACAGAGCTATTGAACTGATTAATATATTCTCGATGATTATTGAAAAAAAAAAGAGAAGAAGCTGAACTGGACAATCTGACAATCACTGAGAAGAAGAAGCTCGAAAGTGAGGGAAATGCTAACCCCAGATCGAAAAAGCTAAGAGTTTTTCAACGTATAAAGAACACAGCAACACAGATTGCCAACCACTGCCACTTAAACTCCAGAGTTAGTTATAATTGCTAACGTATTGTTCTGTATTATATATCATTACTGTTTTTCTATTCAGTAAGTACATTTATAATCACAACAATAAAAGTAAGGAAAAATTAAGTAAAATGTTACCGTCAAGAACATAAATATTTTTTCCAAAATAAAATCTCACTGCCAAAGTATTGTAAACAAACATCAAAACTATCCAACATACAAGTTCCATGCACAGCTAGGATTCATGTGACACACGTCTGATCTCTTTCCAGATCTCAGTGAAAGCTTGAACGATAACATCATGTTGGCAAGGAGAATTCAGCTCCAAGAAGCAGTTAAGAAGCTCTTCAAGATCATCTTTGGAGTAGATGTTTTTCTCCAAGATCATTTGCGACATAGAATTCTTGAAATCTTGAAAGGGGTCATCAGAATCCTTCACCACAGCAATGCTGTCAATGATTTTGGATGCTTTTGGATAGGTTTCGGATTCGGAGTTTTGGGTTGATGACGTGTTGTTGTCTTTTTTCAAAGTGAAAGCAGTGGAAGTAGAGTCTTCTTCTTCATTGTCCGGTAATGAGAAGCCTACACTTTTATTACATGAGCTTGTAGAGGAACAATTGGGGTTCGGATCTTTTTGGGAAATTGAGGTTTTGGGTTTAGGTTTCGGTGCTGGCTCGTATACATCAGAGAGTTTTGGCCTGCCACAGCCACAGCCACTGCCTACATTGGGTGTGAGTATGGATTGAAGGAGATTTTTCTTCTTTGAAGACATTGAAAGAGTTTTTGTGCTTAATTTGCAAGGTTTAGTGTACTAGTTGGCCTGGATCTAGCTAGGAGGTGTTAATGGTGAGACTCCTTTTCAAGATTAAAACTCTAAAGCATTTGGGGACTCTAGAGAGGAGGGAGGGAGGGAGGGGAGTTGTTTTTGCTTTTGGATAGGAGTCATTTTCTTTTGAGTTGTTGAGGGAGGAAGGTTATATTAGATCATTCTTCTTGACTAAAGGAACAAAGGGCCGGATCAATGTGAGTTTAGTAAAGGGATTTTGGCATTTTCTAACATGCCTTCAAAGAAAATTAACAAGTAATTAATTGAATCAAATATGATATTTTCTTTCCTTTTTTTATATATAATTAATAATAATCATATTCTTTGAAATAACTTAATTGAGAAACAGAAAATCTAATTTAAACAATTCTAGATCATGATATAAGTACTGAATTTTATAAAGACTAAATGATCCAAAATTATCGTGAATTTTTTCATATCATCATGAGTAACTCAAAACAATTTTTGATAAAAAAAAAATAGATCATTTCATTAATTTTAACTCTATATGATAGTTGAGAAACACAATACTTGTGTGAAAACTAGAAAGAAGGGCATATATATATATATAAAGAGTTGCTAAGATATATACTGAAACAAGAAAAAATTAAATTTAAAAACTAATTTCAATTTATTTCAAAATTAATTCAAGAGAGTTTTGATCATAGATAAACCCTTTCATAGACATAAATACTAAAAGGAAATTTGATTACTTGATTTATGTATACATAACGTACGGTGGATTTGGGAAAGACAAAAACACTGCAGCTGGACCTTTCTTTTGGCATTCTAACAAGACATTATTGGAAGGCTAATTTCTTTTTCAATGAATAGGATCGTTAGTAAATTATAAATGAAAATAGAAACAGATACAATTTAGAAAGATGTGTACAAGATCAACCATAGCAGATCAGTGAAGCCACCAAGATAATGCCGGATGATGCCGAGCACAATTAAACCACATAAAGACAACTAAGACTTCAAGAAGAACACGAAAGAAAACAGCAACTTGAACTACCGTCCCAGCAAGAAAACAACTGCCATGCACAACCATAGCAGCTGAAAAACTGTCCAGCAACTATCACTAAAGCAACGACAAGAAAATCAGCACATGAACTCAGTCACTAGCTAGACAACATAAATTGCTCTTCGTACCATGTCAGGGGCATGTGTAATCTTCCCAACTATGTTTCTATTGATGAATTTGGGACAAGTATTCGTTAGCTTGTTCCAAATGTGAACCCAAAAGTAAGTTCTTGAAGGAGGAGGAGGAGGAGGCGGCTCTTGTTTTAGGCAAAGGTTGCAAGTATAACCACGCAGCCTTTTGGACCAGAACATTGCTTATTGCTATATCCTCAAATGATCGAATAGTACAAGACCACCTTGTGATAAAGGAATCAAATCCTTCACAGAAGTATATGTATAGAACAGTGAAGGGGAGCTTAAAGTATGCTTCAAACTGGCATTTGGATTTGATGTTTCTTCACAAAGGGCTGTTGGAAAGCTATTGCTCCTTGTCTTGGTTATGAAGGAAAGTTTCTTGGATTGCGTTGGAGAACATTTGGTGTTTTTGCTTGCCATGGTTTGTTTTGGTTCCTGTGAGTAACCTGAAGATTTGTGAGGTTAAAACGAAAGTAGGAAATGGGGCTTAAGTAAGAAGAAAATTAAGATAATTAATTGAAGTCCTTGGATAGAATATCATAAATCTATCTAAATCTGCAACCAAAAAGAATTTAAGATAATTCATTGTGAGCTGATAATAAATTATCCTTAAACTCAGATTTTTCATAACCTAAGATTTTCAAAGTATTTAAGAATTTTTCATGCTTGAGCTTTTTGCTCTACCTATTCAATATATATATAGTGTAAAATCAACTAACAATGTCGAAGAAGCATGATTGATCTTTGGCATCGACTAGATTAAATTAAAAAAAAAACTCAGATTGATTCAGTCAAAAACAATCACCATCTTATTAATTTTTTATTAAAACAATATTATTTTAAATTTTTAAATATTTTTTTATCTACCTGTATGGATTCTCCCAACCCATGCAGGGTCTCTCCCAGCCCATGCAGGGTCTTGCTCCATATTAATTCCATGATATGTTTTAATAGTGCGTCACAAGCAGAAACAAGAAGGGAGAGAAGAATTTTTTTTTTATTATTATTTTTTTCCCTTTAATTAACTCAACATCATTCTATATAATTAATAGAACTGGGAGCCAGACTAAAAGGTACTCTTTTTTTTCAATCAAAGAAATGAATTTAAAAGATGGGCAGTAAAAAAAATTATTTTTTGAAAAATATATACTGTAGGATAGGAATGGAATGGGAATTAGATAATTTAAAAAATTATTTGGGAGTGACCCAATTAAAAATTTGAGTAACCTGCAATTTAATTAAAATTTAAATTAACACAAATTTTATTTTTAATTTAAAAAATTAAAATAAAATTTATTTTGATGAATCTAAAACAATTTAGATTAATTCAATTATTTTATAAATCTAATTCCACTCAGATTAATTCCATCATTTTATAACTAAGTCTAGAGGTAGGTTATATATTTAACTATGTTTAATCCTTTCAAAAAAAAAAATGTTTCTTCAAGTGATTTTCATATTTGAAAAGCATAAAAACAGGAAGAAAATAAAAGATCAAAAATCTTTTTTTTTCCAAGTCCATCTCAATCTAGTCTAATTAATAACTGAAAACTGTGAGGGTAGTAATATGGTAAGATTTTCACTTTCCTTTTTTTTTTTTTTTTCATTAATGACCTTTCTTGGTTGGCTTAAGTCCTAGAATTTTTTTTTTTTTCCTGTTAAGTTCCAAGGACTTTTCACTACTTGGAACTTTAGGGCATGTACTGTTTTTAGGATAGTTTTAATTTGATATTGAATGGCAAATAACAGCAACTCTGCAACTGCAACTCCCTCCTTTCTCTTTTGCTTCTTTCTTGAACAACAAAAGCTCCAAGAACAGCTGCTGCTCTACCTGTAATCAACCTCCCAAATCCAGTTTTAAACGACTTGAAACTAGAGTTAATTGAAGAAGGGAAAGCCCCATCATCTTCCTCTGTTGAGGAAGTTACCAAGAAGTGTGGTCTTGAAGCTGGTCTATGGAAGGTAGTTACTCCCTTCTCTAAGTTCTTTTCCTTTCCCTACTTTTGTTTCAGTTCTTGCCTTTCCTGATGTGAATTTTAAGTGCCCTTAATGTGGTTTCTTGGTTTTCTTACTTTTTTTTTGGCATAAATTGTGGATAAAGCAGGTTGGATAAGAATTATTGTTTTATAAAATCTCCACTGTTTTGTAATTTCTTTGAATTTAGTGTCTTTGCCTAAACACTGCTTGGAGAACTATGTATTTTAGTAGGTAGGAGACTAATTGGCCAAGGCTATTGTTTCCAAAAATGAAGATATTCAGCTCAACAGAGGATTGGCTCTTGCTTGTTCTTGGCTCAGATTCCATGTGTCCTTTGATGGCCGTGATAATTTCTGTAATAATCCATTATAATGAAACAAACTTTTAAAGTGGTTTTTTCATTTTCAAGACTGAAACTTTGCATGAACACAATATACAAGATGCATGCCTCTCGTATGGAACAAATGAAAACAAAATCCATGAATTCAGATCTTTACCAACCCTCTAAGCAATTTATTTGATAGTTTTTAGGTCCTTTGGGTTGCAACTAGCGCAATCACCAGAGTTCCTGGGGTCATAATTACCACCGAGCAATGAAATTCCACAATCACCACTGCATTACGGGAACAACCAATCCATTCAGGAGACGGGGAAGATTCAAGGAGGTAGCCAATGCCTTGCATCCACAGGCGATAACATTGAGATGTCAATTATCAGGACATGCTTCAATCCTGCCATATAGTGCCTTGGTTTCACACATCATTATAGAACAGCAAAAGAGACGCAAACGCCTCAGAAAGTATATCTATTTTTGAGTTTCTAAACAGGAGTGAATACTGTCATCGCATTATATATTACATAGTTTGCCACCTAAACGGATATAAATACAACAAAGCCATGAAGCGGAGAAATATACAAGAATCGATCAAAAGTCAGTTACCTTCTTTATTTGCCACTAGAATCATACGTATCATGTATATTACTTAAGCTGTACAATGAACTAGCTACCTCTGCAAGCTTTAGTTTCTTTGGAGCTATGGTAGCTTGCAGGAACCCTCGATCTAACCTCCAAAATATCACAACGGTAAAGGCAGAGGGTGGTTGCCATAGGTTCTTGACCCAAAAAAAGCCATTTATCTTTTACTTGATTCTCCAACATTTCCCTTTCATCCAGCAGTCGTGTTAGTACCGGGAGGCACTTCTGTTGGATTAGATGGTGGAGTCTGGGGCTGTGGTGGGCAGACATTTGGCATGACATAATCATTAGGAAGTGTGTCCAAGTCATTCCATTCAACCGCAGCTATTTTTGCAGTCAAGGAACTCAGAAGTTTGCTGGTCTATACTTTATGAAGGATGACAACACAAATGAGGTAAACACAATTCACTATCTTAACAAGGATACGTTCGTTACGCCACATGTCTGTAATGCTAACACCAGCATCTGATAAAAGCCAGTAATCTGCATCACTCTGTAATTAAACAACAAAATTAGAATTAAGGAAACTTATCTATTTTACAAATGGTAGTTCCTTTCTTTAGTAAAAAAATAGTAAGGCACATGCCATGGAACTCAAATCCATGTTAGGACAAACGACAGCATGTTAAACCAATCAATTATTGACAGGTTGAATCCCACAAAGTTCAGACAATTATCTGAACATAAGGTGCTTTCCCGACCTGCTGTGCTTCATTGCCTGTGCTTGCAATCGTTGTTAACATTCCAGGCAAACATAAGCAGCTGACAACTTGCATTTTTCTGAAAAATTAGGACAGCAAAAAGGAAAACTTACATCAACATCTGAGGGAACAATCTTCATGATCCCACTCACAAAGTCATGTGCGGTGTTAAGTTCTGAGCACATTCTATGACCATCTTGTTCCTGCATTTCAACCTCCTTTCCTCTGCTCTCCTCCATGGTCATTGTAATAGCTGGATTTTCATTGAAGCCTGAGGTTGATGGATAGCTTGGAGGTGGCTCAACACCTTGAATATCCTCAATTTTCTCTTCAAATTGACTGAGTAAGTGAGAGAGGCATCAGGAAAGTCAGTTACATAAATTCTTGAGTGACCAATGAGTCATTGCTCTGCTAGAATGAAGATTAGGCCTTGTCAGTAACATAAAATAAATGAAAAGATACCTGACAAGATAAACATCTATTGGGCCCATTGTACTCCTAAGGACTATCCTGTATCTCCTCTGAGGATAATCAACTGCCTGCTAAGGAAAGGAAAAACTATAACAACGAACAAAAATGGACACGCACTGTAACCCTTTCCTTGAATTGACTACTTTTGGGATTACCTCATCGGGATCTGGGACTTCTAGAGTGGTACCATGTGGAGCTTTAATTGCTATCAAGGTTTCATTCTGTAACAGAAAAAAATTACAAACTCAATTGCTAGCAATATAGAAAATTTTCTTTAGGAAAGGCAGTGACACTCCAAGCACCAAGTCTATTACTTGATAATGAAACAAAAAAAACTAACCTGGAAGCCAGGTAAGCTCTTGATGTCTTCCTCAGTGACAAAAAGCCACCTAATATCGTAAATCAGCAAAATGGGCTGAGTCTCTTAATTAAAATAGGTAACTGCCGTACAAACTATTAATAATCTATGCAAACATGAGGAGAATAATTTACTTTTGATTATTTTCATCTTCACTTAGGTCCCTCAATCTTTCTTGCATTTCTCTGCAATAATTTAGAGCCGCAGCACAATCTAAAAGTTTTAGAAAAGCAACATGGGGATATTGCATAAGCAGAAGGAAAAACAGCATAACCTTGTTTGTTCATCTAATCTGCGTTCCTCCATGGTCAGGTTTTCAACTTCTGCCTGCAAGAAAAAGGCAATCATTGATGAAGTAAAATCCAGTACTTCCTGAGAGTTTTTGTTCACTGAAACGGTGCATGATCCACCTTTTGTAACTGAAAATGAAATCTCAACTCAACTAACTAGTTCATAGAGAATAGCATTTAGTGCAGCCTTAGGAATTCAAATTTAATCATTGCATCGATGCTACAGACTGTTATAGAAGTTGTGTCCCAAAATGACGCTCATAGGACATATGCAAGGACAACCTAACTGGTTGGCATATACACGAGACTGTTACATTTTCACATAGATGTTCCATTGAAGAATCAGCGTTTCTTCCCTGTGGATGGAGGACTTTCATCCAAATAGGGTCAGCAGCCAGCAATGCATCAGTCCAGGGAAAATATGAATTGGATTTACTATAATTTTATTCGTTATTTATCAATTCAGAAGTTTTAATTTGTTTAAAATTTTTTCCTATAGTAGGTTATTCAGCATTGGTTGAGATTTGATATTAATTAAGTTTTATACTACAAGGGCAAATTGAGGTTTTCGTGTGCTACCATAAGCACAGTATTCTATGTAATAAAGAGACCTTTTAGTGAATCAAACTTGAGCTGGTTCTTTGTTCTTGTGGATCCAAGAAGTGCCCCTTGTGCAGTTGCAGATTTGGCCAAGTGGATTCTAGATTTTTATGCTTATCAATCTATTGCTCTGTTTGATCTAAACACGCTGCCATAGTTGGCTCCTAAAACTTTCCAGGAAGGAAAACTAAAGCAACACGCTTCACAAACAGCTTTGCAAAGCCTAATCCAAGAGAAAAATGCCATGCCAAGAAACAAGTTGTCAGTTGTCACGATCAGAAATAAAAAGAGTTGCTGGTTGTCAATGACTGCATACCTGCAAAGTAGCAACATTATTATCATCCGCCTCCCCTGGCCTTGATACATCAAGTCCCCTGATAACATTCAACAAATGCTACTCATCACATGCAAAAATAACTTTAATAATAGTAGATAATCATGCAACAATTTTACAATTTAAAACAAGTGACATCAAAAAGGAATTTAAGTCCATACTTCCACTGAATTCTATTTTTGAGCTTCTTTTCTATAAGACCAATTCCTTCTAGAACATTTGTTATGTCATATATCCGCCTTTTTTGAACCTGAAATGAAAGAAAACCTTTAAATGACAGAATTTTACAACACAAGATAGAATAGATGGAAACTGAACTGAAGGTGACCTCTAAAGTCTCAGCAGCTTTATTAAGATCAAGGATGCCATCTTCAGCATGTTTGATCAAATTGATGAATTTTTTAGTCAAGAGACCTGAATCAGAATCACATAATATATTACCACATTTACAGTGTAGTTTTTCTTTGTTCCACAAGTTATTTGAAATGGAGTTCATGATAATCACCAACTACTCTGTTTCAAAAGCAAATACAGAAATGCACGAGCAGAAAAGATTACCTAGAGAGCTGTCATAGCGACATGGACCAGATGGAGTAAGATTATTTCCAGGAGAACCTGCCGATTCAGAGAACGTTTCTCACTACATGTATTTACTTTCACTTCCTTCTTTTCACCAATGAAGTCAATTAAAATACGATAAGAAGATTTTTTCCACAATAAAAGAAACTCACAACATATCAACTTAGTCATTGATTTACCCTGACCTAACCAGTGACAAAAAAAAAACTCCAGAACCACAAATATGAGACACCGCTGTAGAAGTTTAAAACAAATATACTCACCAAGAGCAGCAGCAGCACTCTGAGATCCAGATTTACTGCTCTTTGAGAGTCTTGATGTTTTGGGTGTCTTTCCCCCCTTTCCTGATACAGGTGTCTGCAGGGGGCTGGTCACTACTTCCATATATCCATGACCAGCATTCCACTCACTGGACTCACCTTGATGATCTGCTGCATCACTCTTCCGCTTTAATGTCTGATATACAACATTTAACTTATATTATCGCACTGTAAGTTGTTGAAAATTATAAAACAAATGAGCTCATGAGATTTTGCTTTTTAAAAGGTAGTACGCAGCATATATCTTGTATAACCTCTGAGCTGACACCACCAGCCAAACTTATATCAATAAATGAAAGCTATAAGAAACATACATGAATTCCAAATTGTGTATCCCAGGTGTTCAGTAAAAATGAGTGTAAAGGAAAGCACAAGAGTTAGACACTTCCCAATATACATATGTAAGGGATACTTGAATTCTGAGAATAGGAAAACATGGTACAGAAAAAGATAAAACATCAAGACTTGTGTTTATAAGTATTCTGCATGAAGCAAACATGTCAGGATGGTGAATGCAAGCACAGGAGGATCACATGCTTGAAGACCACAAAGGGCAAGCTAGAAGCAACTTTAACTTGAAACAAGCTCATGGCATAAGCATCACGTTCCTTCCAAAATTACATCATAATGGACTCGTAGTCATGCTGCCTTCCAGAAACTTCATAGGCATCAAAAGATCCTTGATTAGAGGGAAAATAGGCAAGGACAACTTTCAGAGCCTGGTGGGAAAAATAGTAATCAATGGCACTGCTACATTGCGAGCCATTTTTACCAGGCATATACATCACAATAAGATGTCAGAGCTTCTCAGAAAACATTTGTAGTAACAACCAAAATGCAGCATTTTTTTTATTTAGGCAAAGTACTCATCTCTTTTTGCAGTAGATGTTAAGGAACCATAAATCCACTTAACTTGACAGAAGGTCTACTTCCCTCATCAAAGCTTTGGCATCATTTATCAAACAGTTAGGCGTGTAATGTCTTGACTTTAGGACCATAACTTGAAACAACACAAATTGATAAGGAAACTTAAGTTATTGAATCCTACAATTTAAATGTTCCTCTAGTAAACTTAAGCATCATTACCGTGTCCCATTTACATCTTAGATACAAATCTTTACCACATGTCCCTAATATTTCCCCGTATGCTATCACAAGCCAGACACCACACACCGAATTATACCACTTGTATCATTCACCACCAGCTTTTTACCATCCTTTTCTACTCCCTTCCCCTCGTCTTCCTACCTCCTGAACAACGGATCCTAATACGTGAATTTTAAGACAGCAACTCACCAAGATTATGTAAGAGGCACTTAAACTCTTACAAAACCTTAAAATAGAAACCATTACTGAGGGCATCTAATCCCAATCAGCACAAACAAAATAAACTAGAAAAAATAGTATTTTTAAGCAGAAAGTTTAGCCCCTTACCCCAAAAAACACGTGAAATACACCAATTCAGCTCTAGAAAACCCACTAACACAACAACTTAACCAAACCCATCTCCAAAACCCACTTCAAGAACACAAAATTAGCCAAAAAAATCAAATATCCACTAAAATTAAAATTAAGAAAAAAATCCCAGAATCACAAAACCCTTAAAAACAGTCAAATTTAAAAACAAAGCAGATCACCACGAAAAAAAAAAAAACCAAACCCAAAACCCCAAACCCAAAAAAAAGAGTAAATACTTACAGGAGGTTTCACAACAATGCCCTCAACTTCATGATCAGAAACGGCACGTCGTTGCTCGTCACCGAACCGGTGGTAGTCACCCGGAGGCAAAAACGGTGGCTTCATTGAAGAAAACGAAAGTGGTTGCTGATGCTGGCGCTGATTCGGTGCGTGACTCTGCATACTGCTTTGCTGCGGCTGCTTCATTGATTGGTTGTTTTGTGCTTGAGAATTCGACATCGCAAGAATTTTTAAGAAAGAAAAAACAAAAAATTATATATTTTTGGAGGGTTTTTAGGGAATTGAAGTAGGAGAGGGAATTGAAAGGAGAGGGAAATGGAATTGAGGAAGAGATCTGGGGGTGCTTGGATGGAAAGGAAAGGAAAATAAAAAAAAGCGGGAGAGAGAGAGAGAGAGAGAGAGAGTGAGGGAGGGTGGAAAACGAGGGAAGGGAAGAGGAGGAGGGAATTTGGTTCGGATATAGATGTGGAGGGAAGCGCTGCCTTCGTCTTTATTTATTTATTTATTTAATTCATTAATTCATAATTGAATGTAATTTGTATTTTTAAAATTAGATTTCCTTTCTTTTATTTCCCTTTTAATTAGGTGATTAGTATATATTTTTAAAAATAATTTTAATAAAATAAATAATAGAATATCACTAGTTATTATTCATAAATACTGTAAAATTCTTCACTGCTTAACGTTATTTTATGTTTTTTTATTTATAAAATCACTATTTGAATTAAAGTGACTAGTTTTTAGATTTAGTATAAATTTTTTTAGTATTCTAAATAAAAATAGACAGGTGAGCATAATTATAGCATGGTATTATTTTTATTAAACTACTCCGAATATATCATATTATTTTAAATTATTTTATACAAGGAATCCTATTTCGAAGAAATGGGACTGTACAAGGTTTCAAATAATTATATCATATATTAGAGATCAAATATATCATATTATTCTTTTTCCTAATAATAGAAAAAGGAAAGTGCAATTTGTCAAAAATAAAAAAAATAAAAAATAAAAAATGAAAAGGAGGAGGAGGGGAGGAGGAGGCGGAGGAAAGTTCATTTGTCATTGTCGTATTTTGATCTCACTGTATGGTAACTACACCAATGCTTTGAGCAGGTGCACCCTTCACAGAATCTAGAAAAGCCAGGGATTGGATCCCATCATCCAAAGGAATAAAAATAATTTATATTTAATTTGATTTTTTTATTAGTTGATATTATAAAAATAGTAAAAATACATAATCGTAGAATCTTGTATATTTTTTATTTATATTTTTGCCAGGCAATAATCTAAACGTTTGAAACTCATTAGAACTTTGACTAATTTTATTAAAATAATTTAAAAATGTGGTAGTGATTATTTTTTAATATATTTTTTATTTAAAAATATATTAAAATAATATTTTTATTTTATAAAAAATATTTTTAATTTTAATACATTAAAATTATCTAAAAACATCAATAAAATATTAATTTAAAATAAAAAAATTAATTTTTTAAAATACTCTCAAAGCATAAAAACAAATATATTCTAAATAATAAAAAATAAATGTTTTGCTTTGAAAATATTCTTATTTCTAAAAATTTTAATAAGATGTTACTCCAAAAATATTTTTTTATTATATAAAAAAAAAAAGTTATTGTTATTATTATTATTGTTATTGGATTTAGCATTTTGACTGGGTATCTGACGTGCAGATGGCATTGAGAGCATAACTTGTGTAGTGGGCCAGGTGTCCCTGTTTGATAAATGTAAACCACAACTCAGTCCCCCTTGTTTAACAGATAAACGATTTAGTCCTGTTTAAAACATAATCAATTAATCCCCATGTTTTCACATTCATTTATCATAGCTATTAAAGACCCGAGAAAATAATATTGGGTCACGGGTCAAGAGAATTGATCTAGATTAACTTATATTATTAAATAACCATAATATATATTATTAGAATTGATCTAGATTAACCTATATTAACCCTAAAAACTAAAAATTTAACCATAATATATATTATTAAATAACATGTTTAAAAAAATCACTTATAATTCTATATGCTATATAATAAAAAGCTACACGACATGTTCAACTAATAATTTAAAATCCAAACACAAAATGCACAAACATCCAAAAACTACCTACATAACCATAATTAAAACAACATTACACCTAGATTTCAAATTTTCAATTCAAAACCAAAAAACACCATAAAAAATAAATAAAAATCCAAACTTTGTAGCATGCCCACATGAAATTGTGTTCGCATTGAAGCTTAGCCCATGATCAATACCCATTATTGGTAACATTTCAAGACAAATCAAACATGAAGTTTACACTCCAAAAGACTTGCCATTTGATCTTTATGCACCACAACTTTCATCTTCATTGTCTATAATCACATCATTTTCTTTTCAAAATTAACCCATCAAAAATCACATAAAAAACCACAACCACAAAACCTACTACAACTACAACACTAATATTTAAACCCTTGAATCATCAAATAATGTATTTTCATAGACATTAGTGCCATAAATGATCTAGTAGCTTGTTCCCCTCACATAATACAGAGGAAAAGTCGAGGCAAGACTTTTCATTGCCAATGAATTAATTTAAGGATTAAAAAGAGTTATTTTAAAGGTATTGATGAGAATAATACCCCAAATTACAAAATATATATATATATAGAGAGAGAGAGACAACATGTTGAGAATTTAAGCATGGTGGCTACGTGTTTTTTAGAAAGTTGAGATTTGTATCCCAAAATCAAAATCATAAAAGGTTTATAAAAAAAGTTTTGGATCTCATGCAGGTTTCTCTGAGTCACTCATTTAAATGAATCAATCATAACCTTGTGTTTTTAACTTTGTAAAGCCTAGCTGAAGTATTGAGTCACCCGAGTCTCGAATTAACCTGTTAGATGAGACTAGGTTCTACAATAATGCATTTCACAACCTAATAAGCCTGGTGATATTAATTTTGTAATATCATTAATTTTTTCTATATTTGTTTATCACTTACCTAAAACTCAAATATTATCAAAAGTTAAATTAATTATTTTTAAAACTAAAGAGATTAAATTGCATGTTCTCTAAAGATACAAGGATTTAAATAATCATTTACTCTTAAAAACCCCAAAAAAACAATAAATCTGCTCAATTATCATGAAAAAAAAAAGATTATATATATATATATATATAAAAGAAAAAAAGAAAAGAGAAGGGGTGGTTAGGTTAGAATCGGCGATTGCTCACCTTTTCTGAAGAGAAAGTTGCGATCTTTTGGCGCGCCATAATCCTAACCCCAAGCCTACCCCCCTCCCCACTTCGGTGCGCTTTCCCCCCCACTTTCTTAGGGCAACAGTTTACACGGCTCTTTTCTTGTTATTTGGGGCCCTACTTGCAATTTCTTTTGGACCCTACTTTTAACCCATTATTGTCATTTTGGCCCAATTCCTACCAGTCATATGAAAATTGATTGAGGACTACTTTAGACTAATTTTGTCAGCCTAAATGGTTGTCCTTATGTGCCCAAGCTTTTGACTTTTAGCTATGTGATACAGACCACGACAAAGAAATTATGGCAAAGAAGACGAGGAATTTCAATTTTTTTATTTATAAGTATGATTTATTTTTGTGTTTTAAAAATATTTTAAAAAATATTTTTTATTTTTTTAAATTAATATATTTTAAGTATTTTTAAATTATTTTAATATATTCATATCATAATTTTTAAAAAATAAAAATTATTATTTTAATATATTTCTAAATAAAAATATTTTTAAAAACAACCATAATTATAATTACAAACACTCATTTAAATTTAAGTTGCTGTATTTAGTGTTCTAAGATACATTAACATGGTTGAATACATCAATGAAGATATAAAAATGTTTTAAAAATAATTTTAAAGAGAATTTCAATTTTATTTTTTTTTCATCTTAAAGATTTGTTGTAATTTTGAATTGCAAGAGATTCCAAGTGCCACACTGTATATGATGACATAAAGCAAAAAAAGGAGGTGAGGGATGGAATAAATAAGGCAGGCAAAAAGGAAAGAAAGATCCAAGGAAACCATCATCATATTCAACAAAAAGGTAACTTTATAAATATTCTACCAGTCAGTGCATGACCCAGAGAGAAGGAGGTCGAGTCTACAGGAAGAAGGAAGGATAAAAGAAAACCTGATGGTGAACTCCCAGAGAGCAGGCACTGCTGTAAGAGATTGTGATTTCATAGAAGACAGTGGTATCTCCTGCAAACAGAAACTTGAAAACTGAGCAATGTGGATCAAAGCAAGCAGAGCCATAACGAGTATTTCTGCAGACTTGTGAGAGACTGGTGAAAGTCGAGTTCTACTGAGAAAGAGTGGGCAGTTCCTATCTGTTCAGAACATGGTTCACAAGAAGCAGGGGGTGTTTATCAGATGTTTCAACTAGAAACCTCATTACTGACTCGTCGGGTAGAAATCCTCTCTCAAACATCACATCACACACCCTATAAGCTTCGCGGAGTTTCTTTTCTTCACATAAGATATAAAGCAGCAAGTTCCATCTATACAGGCAAGGCACAAGATTGCAAGCAACCATTTCTTCAAATATCCTGAAGGCAGGAATGCTCATGTGACAAGCACAAAAATAATGGTGTGATTTTTCATAAGCCAGCCTGTTTGGAAAGAAGCCCCTCTTGCTCGTTGTATGCACAAGAGATAAAGCATCTAATTCTCTACCAGACCTGCAAAGTGATTTCAGTAAAGTGTTGTATGTACATCTGTCAGGGGTGCTGCAACCATCTGCATTCATCCTATTAAACAATCCAATACCCCGATCAATTTCACCAGCCCTGCCATGTGCACCAATGAGAATTGTGAAAGTCACTTCATTTGGAAGTAGACCCTCCTCTTGCATCAGTCTAAGTTGATGGAAAGCATCCTCTATCAAATCTACCCAGCAAAATCCGGAGACAGTGACATTATAGAGGTAAAAGGTTGGGCATAAACCCTGTTCTTTTATTTTCTGCATGAGCTTCAATGCTAAGTCTTTCATTCCCTAGAAGAACAAGCAGAAACACTAAAAACATCTTCTCCAGGCAAGGAAACTTTTTGATGGAGCAAATTAAATAGCAGTTTTCTAGCCCTTGTAGACATTCTGTTTGTCATGTACCATCTTTTCTTGTTGCCAAAGATATTTCTGCAAACACCACTAATCCAAGCAATGTGCAAGACAGGGTCAGCTTCGATCTGACTTCTAAACATCAAATCACTTAGTCTGAAGGCATATTTAAACTCTCCCATCTTCGAAAAATGATTTGTAAAAAGGTATACAAGACAATATTTGGCACAAAACCCTCTGCCAACATTTTTTCAAGATAAACGCACCCCTCAATAGTCATTTTTTCTCTTCACTAACCCGCTACCAGTGCAGTGTCAGAATAAGAACTTGGCTGAATGGCATTCTTTATCATCATCTCAAACAAATGAAGGGCTTTAACACCTTTTCCATTCCTAGCATAAGCATTGATCATTGTCATATAGGCAACTTCATCAGGATCCACACCATTCTCAAGCATCCTGCAGAAAAGAGTTTCGGCTTCAGAGATTCTCCTCTGTTGGCTTAGACAAGCAATAATGCAGTCATAGATAGCTACATTAGGTTTCAGACCCATTTCCTCCATCTGCTCCAACATACCAAAAGCCAATGCCAGATCCTCTTGTTTACAGTATTGATTTACCATTATCAGATAAGTTTCCAAGTTTGGAGATATGCCCCAGTTTTGCATAATTTCAATCAGAGACTTGACATCCTCGGAAAGCCCGTCCTGGAATAGACGTTTGATCAGAGAATTGAAAGTGAAAAGCAAAGGAACACATCCTGCATTTACCATATTTTCCAAGCAATCCAATGCAGCTTCTGTCTTTCCACCTTCACACAAGGCACTAACATAGATACCACCAGCCACATTACATAGATTCAAGTCACGTCTTGCAATTTCTCTCAGAAGTAGCTCAATTTCTTGCTCCAAAGCCAGAGTGGAATTTATCTTATCAGAATTTGAGAGTGAAGAACAGTCCAACCCACACCCGTTCTTGGCAATTGCCTGCAACATCAACAAACAGAGTTGAAGCTCAAACCCAAGCCCCTTAGGCTTATTCTTCATGAGTACAAAAAACAGAACATGGTCCGGAACAATTCCACTTTCCAGCATTCTTTCACACCATTCATCAACTTCCAAACACCTATTCAGCTTATAAAGAGTGACCATTATAGGCGTATAACAATGCACACAAGGAGTCAAATTGCAGGGAGCCATGCTATTCAAAAGCGACATAGCACAATCCAACTTCCCTTTCTTGCAATAATTATGAATCATTATACTATAAGTGACCTCATTAGGCTGAAGCCCCAGGTCATTCATCAGGTTGTACAACACCCACGCTTTATCAAACAAACCCATCTTTGAAAATCCATAAATCAAAGTATTACAAGTACAAATATCCGGGTCATAACCATTCTTCAGCATCCTAAAATAAACCCTCATTGCCATCTTCATCTTCTTATCCTTACCATAAGCATTCATCAGCGAAGTATACATCACCTTATCCACAAAGAAACCTTGTGCCTCCATCTCTTCAAAAATCCACTCTGCCTCGATGGACCACCCTCTCTTGCAAAGCCCATAAAATAATGTCTTGAGCATATGCAGAGTAGGCGGCAACCCAGTTATTCTGCACATTATATCTAACACTTCTATCGCTTCACCCACGTACCCTTGTTGACACAATCCATCAATCAAAACATTGTAAGCCCACATACCCAATTTCACATTAGCATCACTGATCCTAACAAAATAATCAAATGCCTCCACAAACTTATCTTGCTCGTAAAACCCTCTAAGAATCGTGCTACAAGCAGCATTACTAACCACACAATCACCACTACCAATATGTCTATCAAAAAGCGTTACGGCATCATCTAATTTCCCTAACTTAGCCAAACAAATAACCAGAGAATTAACAATATTCGAGTCCGGCTCAATACCTCTAGCAACCACACGATCATGATAAAACTCATGCGCCGATAAAGGATGACCCAAGTCAACCAATTTCCTAATAAGCTCACCAGGAATTCCAGGGCCAAGGTCCATGCCACTCGCGGAGGCAAACTCAACAGCGGAGATTGCATCATGGACTGTTGGAGAGCTGGCAATGAATCTCTGAACAACTTGCTGTGCAGAGGACAACAGACCGCGGCGAAGAAGGTCATGAACTAAGGATTGGCAAAGGGACGTGTGGTCATTTGGGATTGGATGGGGGTCTAAAGAGACAGCACAGGTTGAAGTGATTGTCCCTTTTTTGGGTTTGAAGTACAGAGCGTGACAAAAAGGTCTCCTTTTTATCATGTTCTGATCAACTGGGGGGACTGAATTTTCATGTCAAGATTGAATTTTTTTTTTTTGGGGGGGGCGGGGGGAGGTGTTTGTGGGTTTTGCACAAAATGAAGTGAGCATATGACGGGTAGGGTTTTAGCCAGTTCAGATATGTATGTGCCTGCCTGGGTGTAGGGTTTTAGGAGCTGATGATGATGGTGAACATTACAGTTTTGGATCGGGACCACATAGTAGTGAGTAAGTTATAACTTAGCCCCTGTATTACTATTACAGTTGTGGATCGGGACCACATAGTGGTGAGTAAGTTATAACTTAGCCCCTGTATTCTATACGTTTTTTCAAATCAGTAGTTTTAAAATCGCATGTTTGTAATGCCTTCATCTGAGTTATTGAGGGGTTTTATATTAAGTTTTTTAAACTAAAAAGATCAACTAATTATAGAATTAATACAATTTACCATTCCCAATATTCAAGGTAGTAAAGTTATTGCTCTTAACACAATTACAAGGATTAACTTAAATTAATTTGGTTAATAAAATTAATTTTTACTTGGTTTAATTTAAAATTCAGTTTAAACTAGAAAATATAGTGGTGGGTGAGCGGGATTTAATAATTCTAGCAAGAACAAGACTTGTTTTTTAAATTTAAACTATAAGAAAATTAGGAGCCGTTGGACATTGATAACAATCCAGTTGTCGCGTGCCACGAGACCCATCAAGATTTTCTTTTCTTTTCTTATCAAAATTAATAAATCAGACATCAGAAGTATGCTAGACCTACCATTGCACAAAGCATTCCCATTTACTGTGGTACTCCTAGGGAAACATTTCCTGCTAACCTTCGTCAACTCTGGTAGAGGCAAAACATCACAAGACAGACGTTTCCCGCTAACCTTTTTCAAGTCTGTTTAGAAGCAAATTATCACGACACATTTCCTGTTACTTTCGTCAACTCTGCTTCCTGACATTGGAAATGCACCAATATCTACACCAGGAAGCATCTACACCAGGAAGCATAACGGATTATCTAAAGAGTTTCTTGTCCCTCTAGGGATTTCGGATATTACAAATTATCTGAAGTTCTTGCAACACATTTGCAGCAAAATGATGATGATGATGATTGGATAAACAGCCCACCTCTCATGTTCAACTTTCCAGCAAAGATTAGAAATTCAATTTCCCTAATTACACTTCTAGTAAGAGGATCACCACCTGCCTCGATTACACGATTATTTACTTGGAAACAAATGAGCCAGATCAGGATCATCCAAGTTCACATCCAACCAACCACGTGATTGCATGCATTCAACATAATGATCTGGTGGCGTCACTGCACGGCAATTTCTTGGAGTGAAGCCATGAATCCTCTCAAGATCACGAGCAAGCCACCGAACATAAGCATGGTCCAATGGTGGCACGATTTTTAAGAGAAACTCTGGCCTGTTTGGTGCCAATGGAGACACAGCTTCTCTTTCTTGCTTAACAGGTTTGTTTCCCATGCTTGACCAGCTTCAGAAAGGGGAAAAGATAGTACGCAGCTGCAGTAAATCATAGAAGAAATGAAGACACAGAATTGAAGGAATAGATATTATAAATTTTATCTAGAGTTTGGGATGTGTAATTTTGTTGCATCCACAAAGTCTCACATAATTTTAACAATGCAGAAAGTGGTGGTTGATCAGGATTTAGCAATTTACTTAAAATTAATTTTATGAGAAAGTTCTTGGACAATTTGTGCCTGAGAAAGTTGGAGTTAGTATAGATATTGTGCAGAAAGATCTATCCCAATCAAAGATAAACATTGAAAGCACTGCCACTGCTGCATGCCATGCTAAAATCAAAAGAAATCCTAAACCAAATACAGAGACACTCAACATCTTGATGGCTGAGAGGAAGCCACAAATTTATGATAATGTCAATCGCTATGCACTGGGAAATTTTTTTGTAACCAATGATCACCAATTCAAAATTCCATGGAATAAAAGAGTTGAGGATAAGAATCGAACTTGAAATATAGTCCGCAGACAGGAGGAGGAAGTAAACCGGAAGGGATTGGTGATACCCACTAGTAAAACATAACTAAGCATCTTTGGTGGTATTCAAAGCTACAAAAAAGTTACTGACAAAACCAGAATAGCAAACCAGACTCACCAACAAACTTGGAACATGAAAAAGAGTTTATCTTATTTGACATGGTTCATGCCACAATAGTGTCCCTCAACAGTGTCACAAGGCTATGCAGCCTGCTTAAGAATGGATTCCATTCTCAGCCTGCACCATCTAGATTCTTGGACATTTTTTATTTCTTAACTAGACATAATATCTGCCATGTCCTTGTTTACAGGTAGGAAACCATCCATTGAAAAAAGGCAACTGAGTATCTAAAGTTTCAAAATCGAGTATCGAGCCATACACAAATTGTACATGGCTCAAATTCCCTTTGCCTAAAACATGCCAGAATGAAGGGAAAAGAATTTTAAACTATAGTTAAATGGTTGTGATTTATTTGAAGCCCCAGATAGAGTTCATTAAATGACAATTTGTGAAAACGAGAACTGGGTGTGGCACAGCAAAATTCCACAGCAGATATTCAAGGCTAGGAAATTTGTTAAGGCCAGTCATGTAAAAAATGACAGTTTTCTACCAGTCAGGATCAATTTTCAATTTGGAAACATAGGAAAAGCTGATAAGAAAGAATATCTCATCTATACACCAAATTCTAGTCTAATCTAAAAATTAGCCCAAATGTTGCATGGAGAAAATATTTAAGATGAAGCACAGTAAAAATGGAATTTAAATTGATGAGAGTTGATTTGAACCAAACAAAACACATTAGAGATTGACCATTGTCTTCCTGAACCAACACAATAGTCTTTGACGTTTTATAATGTGGTGAAAATTTAGGTCCTCTGTTCTCTATTCTTTTTTTCCCTCTAATTATACCTTACAGGTTCAATTCTGTTGATTTTATAAATATAGAAGCTAAAATTTATTCCCACTAAGTCTAAAGCATTATGTATATACAAATATCATCCAAAAACAAACACTAGATTAGGCTCTTACCTATTTCCTTGTATATATGAGGACAACTAATAAGTTTTTAAAGCATCAATCCAACAAGATTCAAATTTATTTCAAGTTCATGCATGCAACCCGAATTTATAATTGTCCACACATGTGCCAAATTTAAATTTCCCACATTAGCTAAGTAGATATTTTGTCTCCATTCAGGCAACCCAAAAAACTGAAAAAAATCTATATTGCTAAATTTGACACAGGTGGACAAATATAAATTGAGGCTGCATGCATGAACTTGAAATACACTCTAGCTTTGTAACATCAGATAAGTGAGAGTTTAAATAATAGAATCAAAGATGATGAAGCCAATTGTGTTTCTCTTGATTTCTTGTGTTACACTATTTAGTCTCTTCACTCCGGCTCAAGGTATACATTATTTAGTCTCTTCACTCCGGCTCAAGGTAGATATTTTTTCAAATCTATCAACAAAGTCTCATTTACATGCAACTAACAAAATGAAATCAAATATCATGAAGTATTGAATAATTAACATTTTACAGTTGAATTTTTATTTGCAAAAATAATGAATATGTGCCTTTCTTTCTTTCTTTCAAAATGCAGGTCAACTATTTGCAAAAATAATGAATATGTGTCTTTCTTTCTTTCAAAATGCAGGTCAACTACAATGGTGCCCTTAGCAAGCCACATTTCCCGGAACATGTGGAAACAACAGCAGGCAGCAATGCTTAGTTGATTTTTTATCAAACTTGGGTGCAAGTAGCATGCCAAAGAATTGTGTGTGCAAAGATTCAAGATCTAGTCAACCATCATGCACACGTGACGTTGTTTGTCAGGAAAGTTATGTCAAAAAACCAAACATGAATGGTGCCTAGATATGTTTTGTTTCTAAAATCTGATGCATGCATAACATCTTATGGTCAAAGAATGTAACAGCTTTGGAAACAAGACTAATGAAACTAATAATAAGTTGGGCCCGAGTTGATCAATAATTGTGTTGAACCTCTCTTGCTTTTTTGGCATATAATCTCTCAATACATCAGCAACCACTACAGCAATGCTAGGACAACTATCAAATCCTGCTAGTACAAGGATTAGCATTTAAAATTGCAAAAGTTTTGCACACCACCATTACAAAATTTGCAAGTCCATTGACCAATAATTCTGACACAAAGCACCAACTTTCCTTATTTTATTCTTCAGAAAAATTCTAAAAAATGCGACACAGAGAACTCTTAAAACTGCAAAAGGTTTCCTCATCAACACTATCAAAGACTATTTGGTGCAGACATAATTTCACCAAGTCATGATACTAACAAAATTTTTGTTTTCATCAAACAAAACCCATGATAAATCTCACCTAAAATATGCAAGAAAGGAAACAAACACAACACAATTCCATTCAAATTGAGCTTTCCTTTTAAATATAATCAAAACAGATAGCAACCAAATAACCAATTCATCACCACCGAAGATATGAGCATGGAAGATATGAGCAAATAGAGAGGAAAAAAACCCAAAAATGAGAGCTTTAAAAGGCAGGACTTGGCTTACCTTGAATTCTTGCAGTGTGCCAGGCCTTGTGGGCAGAGAAATGAAGCAGGGAAAAGTGAGTTTTAACTTTCGAGTCTGCGAAGAAGGTTCTGTTTGGTTTTGCTCTTCATATATAAAGTCCAAAATAAACAAGCGAAGACCCGGCCCATACGGAGGGATTTTTTATTTTTATTTTTATTAAATTACTTTTCCATTAATTCCAATGAAATCTTTTTTTTTGTTTACTCAATTTTTATTTATTAAAATCATCACTTAATGGCTCAAAAGCCTCAGAAATCTAAAAATTATTTTTAAAATTTAATTTAAAAACTTAAAATTTTGAGTTAAGATAATTATTTAATATAATATTATAATTTTATTGATTAAATGATAATGAGTTTAAATTTTATTATTTATACTGATTAATAAAAAAATTAAACATGATCTCATGTAATATGACACTGGCAACAAGAACTTGTACAGTACCTTCACGTGGTGGCCTCCGACGGTGATCCAACCGGAGACCCAAATAGTAGTAAAGTGAGAAACCACTTTTCTCTTCAACTTAATTTAGGGTTTTTCACAAATAGAGTGGACACCGAGGCATTGGTTTTTTCGTCGTCAGGATCTAACAGTTCTTAATCAAGAACTAAAGAGCTGCTTTTTTTGGTGTCATCATCGAATCTATGAGAGAGCAGACAGTAAAAGAACTTGCGAAGACCAAGTTGGCTTTGCTAAAGATGATAGTCCACGTCCAAATCCCGCGGGCTGGCGGCCGGGAAGAGAAAACGGAGCACCGGACGTGGAAGTTGAGTCTGGTTAGATTGTGGAGATGGAGAGTTTCTGACAGTGCAATGCCTCCAGAAGATTATATAAGGTGGAAAAGTTTGGTTGAGGCAGGAGTTCGTGTTAGTTCTAACACTACAGTCTTGATCACAGCGTATGTTTGTGTGGTGGATCCAAGAGCATTTAGGGTTTTTGCATCCAGGAAGCTTGGAAGATGAGGACTGTTTAGGGATAAAAGGTTGGATTCTTGAGGAAGGGGAGGAGAAAGAGCAGTTCTTGCAAAGGTAGTGAGAGGTGCAAGGGAACCAGACAATGTCACTGCCAGTATCCATGATATGAAAGAGAGGGTTTGAGGTGATAGGCTAAAGCTAAGAGAAATCGAGTAGCTACCACCATAGCTATGAGGTGTTTGTTGTAGGGGTAGTTTGGGGATTATCTAGGTGGAGGGGTCTTGCTGGGGAGGTTGTGACAAGGTGGTTTAGCTTTTGGCTTGTTTGGGAATGTCGTAATGGGATTGTTATGAAAGAAGAAGAAGAAAAGAAGAAATGAGTGGAAATTTTATAGAGAAAAGAGATAGACAATATTAGAGCAAAGAAGAAGACACAGAAACCATGGCTGTTTAACGTGGTTGATAGAGATAGACAATAGAGCAAAGAAGAAGACACAGAAACCATGGCTGTTTAACGTGGTTGATAGAGATAGACAATAGAGCAAAGAAGAAGACACAGAAACCATGGCTGTTTAACGTGGTTGATAGAGATAGACAATAGAGCAAAGAAGAAGACACAGAAACCATGGCTGTTTAACGTGGTTGATAAGGAGACGTTACGGGACAGTGACAGTAAGGTTCGGGGTGATGAAATTTGGGACTCTGCTTGCTTCAATGGTTCATCACATCACAGCTGTCAATGTGCATGTCCTTAAAGAGGGAGAGAGAGAAAAGCCATCTGGATGCTAAATGGCAAGGCAAAGAATAAGCTTGCGATTCAGAGAAACACACTTTAACACCCAGGAGGTGGTTCGGCTGATCAAGACGATTCGTGAAACCTGAGGCTAGCACTCTAAGAAAATAGATACATCAAATAGGTGCATTGAGATTTACTAACAAGATTGTTTGAAAAATGAATTCATCTCTTATCGTTAGAGAACTCGATCCGGTGGGAGCAGCCAACGAAGAAGTCAACTCCGGTGGGGTTTTGAGGTCCCGACAGAAGGAATTGGATGGGTGCTGATTGCACATGAACGTGTAGTTTACTTTTCGTGTGGATTGAGGGAGGCCTAGAAACCATAAAGCCCTCTTGTCTGTCTCTAAATCTTTGGCAATGGGCACACGCTCCATCTTAGCACATGAATGTTATTGCCTTTCTATCCGCATGTCTTTGGCTTTGAGTTGAAACCAGACAAGTTGCACTTCGTTGGCTGCTCCCACCCGAGTTGACTTCTTCATCTCTAGGTTATTGAGCAACTTTTAATAAATTTCTGTGAATGGCACACGCTTTTTCCAGATTTTGAAGAGATTTTGGCTTACATCTCAATCGCATTACATACCCAAGTATGCAACAGAGGATTCACTGGTATCTTCGCTTTCTTCCGTGCCAAAACCGTTCTTTAGCAGCAGCTAGTGCATCTTGATTTCTTTTATGATGATCGTGATTTGGTTGACTGACCGATGATTGTTCAGCTGGAGTTTTTCCTTCAGAATTGAAGTGCCTGAAACTGGTTTATCAGATACTGGCTTAGGATCCAAGGGCTCAGAACTTCTTGGAGGGGAAGTTTCATTCAGATGTGCCTCTTTCACACTGGAAGACTTCAACACGAACTTTGGGCCTGAAAATGCATGATTTTTGTCAGATGTTTCGCCAGCGACTGGATCATCCAGGTTCTCCAGCTTCCTAAATTCAGCTTGCTTCTCTTGTTTCCCTTGCTTCTTGGCCGCTATGTCTTTTGCAACAAGTGCAGCATTTTTTCCGATGTTGAAATAAAAATCACTCAAGTCACTCTTCTTGGTAACCTTTAAAACAAGAAAAAAATACAATCTTAGCAGATGACTCGCCAAATGGCTGAGCATGTTTCCTATCAACAGAAACATATAAGTTTAATAATTAAAGTAATATGATCAACGCAAAACTATATTAACATGTGTACCTAACAATTTACAGTATGCTAAGTCTTGAAACACACCAGTACAGTAAGCTAACACTTAAATAATTAAGCTGGGCATGAAGCAATGAAGATGAAACAGAAGAGCCAAGGGGGTGATTGGTTCCATATTACCAGTTCTGAGGAAACCGAAAACTGTTTACATTTCAAGTTTTGTGATTCCTAAAAGTCAATCTCAAACCTGGCCAGTCACAAACTACTATTATCAAAATCACAATTCCCGTAGTAACCCAAGAACCCAGCTCCAGAAACATCACTTCCACTGCCACTTGCCCGATTTATCTCTCAGGTGATGAAAAATAAGTCAATCATCTAACAGGTCCATGACCCATAAATCTCATAGAAAACTTTTGTTTATTCCAAAGCGGAGGTAAAATCAAGAGGAGAAACTTCTTTTGTTCAAAGACATTAAGCACAAGTAAAACGAAATTTGAAGCTTCTCTTTCAGTTCATTTCTCATATAAAAGATACAGACAGTCTGATTTGTCAATGATGGTTGGCAAAGCAAATGGAAGCGAGTTTGAATAATGCTGTTGAACAGAACGTACTTGTTTTCTAATTGGCCCATTGCATCTAAATTGTACTGAATGTAACCTTAATAGGCTGCGCATACAGACATTTCATTCTCAGCAGAAGTACCTGATTGCAAATGCCATCATATTCCCTAGCTTCAACAAATATCTGTTTATACCAGAACCGTAATAGTGTCAGTTTTCCACCCACAAGCAACCTGTCTCTAGTACAAACTTAAAACCTCCTCAACCTTCCTCAATTTAGCAATGACATCTAGGATAGAAGAATATTAATATCACCAAACATCAAGCCACTTTGCAGCCAAACTTCCAAATCATAATAATGCCTGGATAGTGAGGGGTAATGAACTCAACTTCTCTGCACCAGAGCCAGGCAGGTAGAGTTTAGTTGTCACCATTGGATTCATAAAATTCTTGTTGTAGGTGTATCAAACACAATGAAGTACATATCAAGTTGTTAAAGTTCTTTCATAAACAGGACTGCAGTCCCAAACTCAATTCACCCAATAAGTTGAGGAAACATACAGCCATATTCTAAATCTCTCCCTTCAAGGCATCGAAGCCTGAGCCAATTAATTGAGACGCAGCATTCCTATAATGGATCTCCTAGTGATATTCTAACAACCATAACAACTTTTCTATATCTACACGGTAGCAGTTGTGGTAATCCAGCGGTAGACTTAACATAACCTGCGCAACTTAATAAGAGAACCTTTCCGTGTTCGTCTAGGCAAATTAATTCAGACCTTGATGTGTTTCTTGACTGGTGCTTATAGTGTTTGAGCAACCGGTACTCCGGAATAATTGCATGACTGTCATTATATCAAAAAAAAAACCCCAGCTCATAACTAACCCATCTCCAACGCGTGTATGGGAATTTAAGATCTCTATTGCTATCAAGAAGTTGCATTATTCATGACTTAATGCCAACAAGCTCAAAAACATGTCAACAGTTTAGAAATAACACTACATATGAAAACATCAAAGTGACAGCAAAGAGACACGATACAACTAGCAGTTATCAACCAGCAGATCAAGAATCACCAAGAGCATGAAATTTTTTTACAAAATGGTAACGACTCGACTCAATTAAGAGACAAAAGCAAATCTAACACCAACCAAGCAATGACTATGTGCAACAGAATCAAAGTAAGAGCAGAAAAGGTTGCACATACATCCTCTTTCTCCTCTTTAAGTTCACGCAAACGCTCTTC